CCTTCTGTCACCATAAATGTACAAATAGAATAAACCAAGTATAAATAGCCCCTCTTCAGTGGTAACTTACAAAGCCAACAACGAACTGACTGTGTTTCATCATATTGGTGCCCTAATACTTCTAAATATTAGAAGCAAATGCCTCTGGGTTATGGCATTTTCCTCTGGCTCGGCGTCCCGTAGCACTCATGGGGGCACACGGGAGACCGGGGCAAGGAGGAAGGGGAGCCTGAAAGCCCGCAGCTCTCGGGGCACCGAAGCTGCTCTCGCTGCAGCCTCCCCCCTGCAGCACTCGGCTGCTGCAGCTCCCTGTCTGCAGGATTAGAAATAACACAAACCCAAATATTGTCCGTGCTGCGTGCAGCTTTATGGATTTGAATGCAAATTACCAAAGCCACCTTAAAATGGTGGTTAATTAAATATCCTCTAACTTCTAAAAGATAAAAAACCCCAACAAAACAGTGAGTAAAACCCAATCAAAGACTGGAAAATCATAAGATTAACTTTCAAAAGTGCAGAGTGGCCGACCCAGCAGCTCTGGAAGTCAGTCGTTAGCAACGTTTAAGTCAAGTTCTATTAGAACCAAACATTTCATTCCTACTACTATTTTTTTCTTTAACCTGAACTAATATATAGGCTGAAGTCTAAAAGTGGGGTCAGCTGGTCTGTGGCTGTGGCACGATCGCATGCGGCTCAGTGGAGTGCGGGTCCTCCTCCACTTTCCTTTCCATGCACAGGAGGAAAAAAATGCCCTTGGTTACATTTATAGTTATTTTGCTCAGTGCAAGGCCATGGAATAATTTGGAATATTTCAGTGCTTAATTCCAAGTGCAGAACGGTGACACGGTTATGCGTAAAAACATTTGATTGCATAAATAAATAAAGGGATAGAACAGGAGGGGAGTGCTCAGTTGCTTAAAATTAAGTTTTGCTGAACTCAGAGCTGGAATTGCTCCTGATCAGGCAACGATGCTCAGTGAAATTGCACTTAGGATAAGCTCTGCTCATTATCTGCTCCCCAGAAGAATGCTGCTTTGGGTGTTTTGAAGCTATGAATAAAATAGCACTACCATAGAAAATATTAAAATATTGAACAATAAATAGTATTTTACAAGCTTGTCCCACTTTTCTTCAGAACATACTGTAAACATACACACTGAGGTATTAGAAGTAATAAATATTAAATTCAGTTCTTAAAAAAAACCACTTTTAAATACAATACTAAACTATCGACCTGTAATTCTTGACTTGAACCCTAAGATAACTTATCTCTTGTGTGCCCTTGCAGCCTAAAGTGATTTCTGAAAAAAATAGGATTTTGTGCGAAAGACGCAGACCCGTGGGTGTTTTCACTTCCTCTTCATCAGCAAGTACTCTTCGATGTAGTTGATGAAAATGTCAAACTCTCCCATGGCCTTATAGATTCCATTCTCGTTCATCTGCAGGTGAAGCCAAGTCCGTTTAAGTCTGAATGTGACGATACACATGATGTACAATCGCTAGATATATTCTCCGTCCACCGACATCTCCAGCTTCTCTGCCCCACCCCTCAGGGGAACCCGCTGGCTGCTCCTTCGAGCATCGCTCTCTAGATTTCTCTGCCTTAGGTATTTATATTATTATAAATAATAATATAGCAGCGGGTTCCTCCCAACCTCAGTGCAGCCACGTGAGCGGGGACCTTACCTTATCAAACGTCTCTCTAATGTGCTTTATGGTTTTGCTCCTCTTTTCGCACGTGAAGAATCTGTGCTGCAAAGGGACAAGAACAACGGCTTCAACCACACGGGTTTCCTTCCCGGGGCGTGCGGCAGCGGATCTCCCTTCGTCACTGCCGCCCCACCGTCACCTTCCCCTTTCCCGTGTGCGGCCATGGGGCTCCCGGGCAGCGGCTGCTCTGCACCGTGCACTGATGAAACGAGCAACGGCACGACCCCGAGCACGGACCCCACACGCTTTCCCGGCCCCGTGGCACTCTCGGCCCGGGGCAGGGCTGGCCCCATCTGAGTTAGCCTGCGGCAGGTGATGGGGTCACGGCCACACCAGGTGCGGTTTCAGGAGGCATCGTCGCAGAGCCATGCTGCTCCGGTGCCCAGGTAAGGGATGGTCCCTCTGCCCTCCTTCCCCTTATCTCTTCAGCTTGGGTGGGACTGGCTGCAAATAAGTGGTACTCCTGAACAGACCCTCTGAATCATCAGTGTTTAACTGATGAAAGCCTGGAGAGCAGGGGCTAGGAGAAAACCCATCCTTACGAGGTCTGCCTGCCCGGACCCCTGCTCCTCCACACCATCCCGATACCTATGCTTCTGCCCCCGGCTCCTGGGGAGACCCAGCACCCGCTCCCCACCCTGCTGCTGGTCTGGGACTGGCCCTGCCTTGCCGGAGCACTGATTTCATCCCCCGCTGTGATGCTGAGCCCCACTCACACAGCGCCTCATCGTTGCCTTCAGGCTCAGCAGCAGGTTGCCCAGGTCGCCCATGCTCTGCTGGTGGTGCGTGCTGGTCCTCATAGCGCTGGGCAGGACCTCCTCCATGTAGAACCGCATCATCTCCGACACCGACTGACAGCCGAAGCTCCCCTGGGGCGAGAGGAGGTAACCGTGTTGGGGCTGACCACCAGCACCAACATGCGTGGGTGTTTTTAAAAATCAAAATCGCGGTGGTGGTCAGAGTGCTCGCAGCATGTTAGGAGCGCTCGCTGCCACTGCCATGTGGGGGGAACCATGCGTCAGCCCTGCCACAAACACCCGTGTTACTGCTTGGCTGGAGAACTGTCCTTGTCTGACACTGAAAATGCCCCAAATTACAATCTGCTTCCTTTCTTACAAAACACTGGCTGAAGGATAAGGATATAAGAACCATAATTCTTACCTTAAATTCATCCAGCAGTTCAGAGCTGAGCAACTGGATGCTAAGTTCATCATCTTTTGATTGCTGTAGAAAGATGCAATGGAAGCGTGAGCTTTACTTAGACAGGCAGTCAACACTATTTTTCCCTTTGCGCTACCGAACAATCGTTTTCCTTGTTTGCATTTATGGTCTCAGCGAAGCGAAGGCAAAGAGCACCCAGCACATTTGTGTGCACAGCACAGTAACACCGGATTCAGGAGTCACCCATTCTTTGATCCATAATCTTGCAGTGCAACTACCGTTAGGTCAAGACAGCAAGGTAATGAAATCACAAACTTCAGTACCATCGATTTCGTTCCTGTGAAACTCCTCCTGCTGCTGCCAGCGCTGCACGCTTGCTTCAGCTGCAGAGGGTGTTTATGTAAGAGTGCTGATGCAAACTGCACCGCTCTTTGGATGGGTGTCAAGGTCATTGCAGCCCCTGGAAGCAAGCCATCCCCCCCAGCCTGTCTGCCCACGGGCTCGCCAGGGCAGGAGGGTTTAATCCCCCCGTTTTTGTTATCTCTGCAAGTCTCCGGTCAACAGGGGAAAAGGGATCTGCAGAGGGTGTTTGCTCTTGCGGTGCCTCTTGCACCGTCAGCTCTGGAAGACCAGAGAGCTGCAGCGGGGTGAGCTGGCACCAGCCGAAGCATCACCCCATGGCACCAAGGTACCGAAGCTTTCCTGAGAGGTCAAAAATATTCCTTCCCAACATTAACTGGGAGATTTACAGCAAGCTTTAAATCTAAAGTCTTGGCTGTGTTCATTTGATGATAATAAATACAAGCCATGACGTTAGCCTGAGATTTAACCTGGAGATTTATCTTGTTTTATTGCTAAAACAGAAACATTAACTAAAACAGTAACACAGATGTGACCAACCATCTCTGTCAGTGCCAATGCAATGACAAATGCTCTGAGGATACCTTGTGCTGCTTTCTCAGTGACCCCGAGGCTCCTGTTAGCTGCGAGGCAAAGCAGTGACCTTTTACAGGCACCACAGCCAGTGCTAGTTACTGTACCTTTTCTCAAGTCATAAAGTACCGTGTTCAGGCTTTTGTGGTTCTGTCAAAGAAAAAGTCTGTAGCAAAAGATTTCCCTTTTCATCTAGCGTTGATTTCAGCAAGGCTGGACCTCATTGCCCTGGAGAAGGGACTATTTCCTTCCTATTAATTCAGTGAATAATTTGGTCTGCAACATTTAGGGTGAAGTCTGACTAGTAAGGGTCACAAAGATTCATTATGAAATCTCTTGAGTTCATTGTAACTAAAACTAGGAAGAAAACCCTTACGTGTTGTCTCTCAGTGAGCGATGAAACTGAACTTCTCATGCTCACCCCCATCAGCCCATAGCACAATACTCAACCAAATCATTTCTGCCGGGAGGAAGCTGTCTTCCCCCTCATCCAAATCACCGAACTTTGCAAAAAAAAAAGCAGAACGAGAAGGAGGAGAGACTAGCAGAATTATACTTACAAAATAATCCTTAATTTCCTCAAACTTGATCCTCAGCTCTTTGAGCTTTGCAGGCAGGAGCTCGGAGAAGTGGAGGCAGCCGGGCTCGGCAGGCGAGCACCTGGCAGGCAGGGTGCTGGCAGCCAGGAGCAGCAAGACCAGGGCTGAGCAGGTTTGCATGCTGTGAAAATGAGCTGCTTGCCTCTTGGTCCAGCTCTCGGTTGAATTTCACAGGAGGGTAAAAAGCAGATCTGCAGCCTTCACCTTGATGGAGCCCCTCATTTATACTCTCAAAACATCGCTCAATTTCCTCTCCCCCGTTTCCTGGCGAGCAATATTGGGGTTTTAAGTCATTCATTAAAACCAAATGTCACTTGGGTTTCCCGTCAACTTGGGTTTCCTGTTCTCTTGACCCCCCTCCTCTCCTCACCCCCATCAAATCTTTTGTGCTTAGACTCTGCATTTTTTTTTTTCTCATTGCTTGCTTCTTGTAAATTTAAATGTGGCTGAAGAGGAAAGCTTCAGATATAATGCGAAGAAGAAAAGATGCTGTGTAAGGTTACTTCTGCATTCTCACAGTTACTTTTTATTTTTAGATGAATGAGCTATTGTTAGGGGAAAAAAAAATATTTCTATTTTTAACCTCCGTATCAAACCTGCACTTAGGATCCCCAGCACCATGCATAATTCAGCAGCATTGCTTATAATGAACCTGCACAAATACACTGTCACCTCCTTTAGCATTCTAATGCTATCCTGCAAATCCACACACTAATCTTAAATCTTAATTTTTAATTTTTTTTTTTTTCAGTTACACGTACATCTGCTGAAGTCAATGTGAATTTTCACTGCCTTCAGCAAGCTCAAAGACTATGCTCCCAGACTTCAGCTGGTGTGTCTGAATGCCGACGGGATTCGACGTGTGGTGGGGCCGGGATGCGGTGGAGGAGGCCCAGCCAACCGGGACACGCTGCTGCTCAGGTCCCTCGGGGCCTGGGCACGGCTGCCTGGCTGCTTGCCCCCAGCAGCTGGGTGGGAGCCGGGCTTGTGCCATGGGAGCCACTACTTATTTTAACATTGGTGTGTGGTGTTAAAGTGTATAAGCAGGTCCCAAATATTCATGTTTCCAGCTTTTTAATCCTATTTCGTTTCCTAGAAATGGACTTTAACCCCATCCAAGCAACCCGGTGCTGGCTCTGCGAACTGGGTGTACTGTGTTAACTGAGACTTATTGTCCCAGCTCTGATAAAATTACCATTTCAGAGCTGAAGATAATTCCTCTGACGTCTCTCTTGTTTTCCGCTTTCCTCTCTTTCATGTTCTTTCTATATATACATTTGTACACCCCCCCCACCCCTCCGCTTCCTTGTGATAAAGATTTCACTGATGAACTTAGGAATCTGTTATCCAAGAAAGAGAAAGTGGAGATGAATTTGGCCTTCCTGAAATCAGAGGGTTTTCTTTGAAAGCTCCCATCTTATTTTGAAATGGTGCATTCCTCCCAGCCTGCCTCCAATACATTGCCTTGGCTAAATCACTTCAATTCTCATTTCCTTCACTGCACTGAACCTCTTTTAAGTTGAATTTGCAAACCTTTGTGAAGGAACTCGTTGCAAAAAAAATGCTGGAAAAATGCAAAGTATTGTTTGTTACCGTACATTTAATTTTTTTTTTTATTATTTTTAGGAGCAAAAGAGAGGAATGTTTGGTTACGTATGTATGAGTAAGAGTAAAGGGGATGAAGTAACTGAAGGTGTTGGGGCAGAGGCAATGGGATTTTGTGTTCTGATTTGTTTTCCTTTTGTTGTTGTTGTTGCCTCTTCCAGAGGAGATGAGGCAGCCTGCTCCCAGTGAATCACTGCGGGCACACTAGCGCGTCTGAATCACAGCGTGTGTCATGTATTGGGTGACCCATTTTTCTTCCCCTGCTCTATCGCAGCCATGTGGTTTTTTCTCTTGACCGCCAGCAGAAGCTATCAGAAAAGAGAAGAGCGAGCAGCAGCAGATGGCTCAGCCAAAACCGAGTGGTTTTAAACTCAATGCATTTCCATGAGTAGGATCCCAGCTTTCTCTGCTTTCCCCCTTGACTCCCACCCTGGGAGCTTTTCACTTATTTTGGGTTAACTCAAATCTGCCACGGGTCGATAAAGCTTCACTGCCAAGACCTGGATGGCTGCTTAAGTTTCATCAGGGCATTGAAACTGATGTGGTGAGGGCAGCGGGTGCGATGCTGTCAGGAGGCAGTGCCCCGGAGCGGGTCCACAGGCAGCCTGGCCCTGGACCAAAGCCCGGAGCGAAACCCGCTCCCTTTGGTGAAGGATGCACTCCCAGGCACTTCTCTGCAAATTGGGTCCCCTGCAGCAGAGGGGTCACTCTCAGCCTCAGCTTTAGGTTTAGGTACCAGTATTTTTGTGGGATGAAAAGCAAAGGGTCTTTGGGCACACGGGAACATCCTGTGCCATCAGCGCGAGCCGGTGCAGCAGTGGCACGGTGCCAGGAGCCCTCCCTCCTTCCTGCCCAGGAGCTGAGCGCTCGTTTCCAAACTTCTCTTATTTTGAACAATCTGTGGTCTCCATGAAGTCATTTCAGTTTGACACCCAAAGCATGCAGAGTGGTTCTCAGTCTTGTGCAATTCCCTCCTCCCTGTTTTGGAACCTGGTTTGTAGGTTTTTTTGGTACGAGCGTAAGCCAGATGCATCCATTCCACAAAGGAAACTCTGGCCTGCGCACGGATGCTACGCCGCTGTGTTTACCTGTATTTCCTTTGCCGTGTCAGAGATCTTGACGGTGCAGTTTCGCTCTGACTCACTTTTGCTTACTGCTGTGGAAACGCATTGACTCTGCAGTACTACGGAGTGGTTGCATGAATGAATAAAGCACCTTTTCCTAAAGAGTGTCCAGGGGACGTGGGTGTATTTCTAAACCTTTAGGAAACAGCTTTCGTGTTTGCCAAGAAGATCATTTCAGGAAGGAAAGTGTGTTACTCAAAAGCTATTCATACACTTTTACCCCACCTCCCACAAATTTCTAAGAGCTGCACGTTCACAAGAAATACTCAGCAGGACAGCAGAACTGCGTTTCTGCAGTAAAACAGAGGCATTTAGGCAAATGCTTTTCCCCCGCAGCGTGGCATGCGGAAATGTTTTTTTCCTAGACATGGTCCTGGACAACCTGCGCTGGCTGACCCTGCACAGGCAGGGCTTGGGCTCGGTGGTCTTCAGAGGTCCCATCCTCTGGAGCAGGGTGGCATCTCATCATTAAAGGGGCTGTGTATGTGTGTAGCTTTTCTTATCTTGGCAAGCTTTTATGTGGGCAAGTTTTTACATTTGTGTGCCTTCTTGGTCTCTGTCATTGCTTTTGGACAAAGGAACATTGTATATTTTATGCACTGTCTATTCTAGACATAGCTTGGAGGATCCCCTAGATTTCCAGGCTATCATAATGGTGTGTTTCTTTCTTTCCTTTTCAAAAATTCCCCATTTCTCATCCCTTCAGATTACGGAGATCTGCTGTCAGTGGCGCTCTGGGGGAAGCAGAGACTTGGTGGCCTTTCATTCACCTTGTGTGAAGAGCAGTTTTGAAGCCATAGCATTTGTGCTCTCAGCAGCCCCATCGCTGATGACTAACAGTTCCTGATGGGTAAAGCATAAAGTGGACTGCCCTTTTTTTTTTTTTTTTCAAGAATTTTTTTTGCTGGCAAAGCATGACGTTGGATTTTTTAACTTCTGGAAACCTGCTTTATAGAACCCTTGTCAGAATTTTCAAATGTGACTCATATCGACCTCAACAGGTAAATCCCAAATTACTCTTTGGAAATTTAACCAATGTCATTGTTTTGTCTTGTAACATCTAAGTGATCATGAATAGGTTACTAATCATGAACAGAAGACGTTATCGTGACCTCTAATGTGACTTCTAATATGACATAAGAGAGCCTTACATAAGAAGTTCTTAGCAGGTCCAGAACTTCCATTTGATCTGAATCAAGCTGGAATCATCACCTAAAAGCATCAAGTAACGGAGACTTCCTCCCATCTGTAGAGTCAATGTTTTGGTGATTAACTTAACTGAGAAATATCTGCACTTTTTTAATTGCATACATAAAACTCCCTATATTTGGAAGTCTGCTGCAGATCCCTATTTAATACCCTGCCCTGGGATTTCAGAGTGCCCTCTGCCAGCCTAGAAGAGCGAGCTGTGCTTTTTTTTCCCCAGGTTGCATGTACTTTGCCGTTTTAAGCCACTCTGCGAGGGGTGTGCGGAGTCATGCATGAGGTCGGTGCTGCTGCAACACCCTCTTGTCACTGGATCTTGTAAGGAGCCCATTGATGCAGCGTCAGGCCATCTGCCAGCTGAATGATGCTGCCCTCGTCCATGTGAGGTTATTTGCCACTCCGCAGGGGAGCAGTTACAAACAGAGGGGTTATTACCTTTCTTTGTTTTTCTCCTGAAATAAGTCGTTGGCGGGGATTTTCTGATGCTCACAGCAATGTCCTGTTTCTGTCCCTATAGAAACTGAGGAGATCTGGGCGCTGGCGTTTCAGGGAGCAGGGAGCGTGTGCTCCAAGTGAGCAGGGAGGATGAATGAGGTTTTCTCAGAAGAATGCAGTATGTTTGCAGGTAAGCCAAGAAGGTAAAAGTATGCAAAATTGGTCAAATATATGTTCCGTCTTAGAATCGTAGAATCGTTTAGGTTGGAAAAGACCCTTAAGATCATCAAGCCCAACCATTAACCCAGCACTGCCAAG